ATTGTTTATATATAACTGACGTAATGTCATCAGGAGGTCGAGGTCACACGTCTGTTACATTGAAACAGCTTCCCACTGCTGCATGGAGCATTTTGATTGGCTCTCCTGGGACGTGATGGTCACTGGTTAATATGTTTACACACTGACAGCTCAGACTGACTGTTATTGGTCCGGTTGGTGAGGAGGCGGGACCTACAAACCACAGAACTGATGGTTGTACTCTGTTTCTTTAGGGTGCCCCCTACAGGAGGAGGGAGGTGGTGGCTGTCTCACGTCATCGTGCTGTTGCTATGGACGACTCTGCACAGACACGGTAGGATCCCCGACTCCATGTTGTTTTACCTTTTACTGTTTCTATTTTTAAATCATGTTTTCCGTGTTTTGTCGTCGGGTGAAAACGCTTCACGTTGTTGTTTCCTCATGAAATTTCTCTGGAAACATAAATTTGTGTTTAAAAACCTGTTCAACAGAAGAGATGCAGCGTTTTCATGCGACGACATATTTATCAGTTTATTGATCGAAACGATTTCCATCCTCTTCTCATCTTTCCTCATCTTCGCTTCCTTTTTCCATCCGAGTGTGAGCGTCTCGTCTCCTTCATGCTTCCATTAACAAAAAGCTGCCGTGTGAAAACATTCTGGTGTCCCTCTTTTATCATGTAGTGCTTTTATTGTGGAGTCATGCTGAAACAGGAAATGATTCATCCTTTCATTCACTCATTATTGACGTCTAAGTTATGTTCTGTTGTCGCAGATGTTTCTCGTTGAAAGAGACGAAACCGAATATAGAATTTCACGTTTTCACTTCAAACATGAAGTCAAAGTTTCGGCTTTGATCAAATCTGACAAAGAGTTTCCGTTTCCCCCCGTGTCCGTTTGTTTGTGAACAAGATTACGCAAAAAACCACTCAATGAATTTCCTCAAAACTTTGTGGACGGATGTTTTTTATGTCAGAAACAAATCATCACATTTTCTTGCAGATCCAGAAATTGAGTTTTTGAAAATGTTCATTGATTTCTCAGAGAAGAATTCATGGATGTTGATGGAAATAACCGAGGACGGATATTTATTTATTTATTAGGAGACTGTTGGTGGCGCTATGAACTCCTGAGTGAATTTGAAAATGTTCGTTCACTCTTTGCGTTGTTTGCTCTTTTGTTTGTTCCATTTATTAATTGATTGATTGATTCACATGAAGTCATTTGTTTATTATTGATTTGTTCGATTGATCTGTTGATCGTTAAATTAATCAGCGACTGATAAATGTATTCATTTATGAATTAGTTCTTTTACTAAATTCTTCAAAAGATCTTTTGATTATTTAACAATAAATGTTCAGGATAAAAAGAGAGAGAGAGAGAGAGAGAGAGAGAGAGAGAGAGAGAACTTGGTGGCTGCCATTTTCCACATTTGTTCCAATAACACTCGTTTTAGTGAAAAATGTAAACTCAAACAGGGATGTGTGTGTGTGTGTGTGTGTGTGTG